AAGTATTTTATTTTCATCAACGAAACATCCAAAAAAAAAATAATTTTTGATTTCTGGAGTGTGCAATCAATTTGAGTTTTGGTAAATTCTTGTTTGATCTAAGTTCTTTGTCGAAACGAATGACTACTTAAGCGGCCGTCTAGTGTAAACATATTTTTATTTATTTGGTTCATACCTAAAATATAGTATAATTTTTATTTCCAATTTTTTTTAAGGAAAACAACTATTTCAAGATGTGCCTAGGGGTAATTTACTTTGTAATGTAATGAAAAATGTTATTGCTAATAATACAAAATAAAAATCTTTATCGGCAATACAGCCTATGTTGTTGTTGCACCAAAAAAAAATTCATTCCAAACATTTCTTTATAACGTAAATTATTTATTTATGCAGAAACATATATACTTGTATTTGATGTACAATTGCAATAACAGAAAGCAGTTAGCATACTGCCGTTAAACTTCCTTCCCGAACCTACATAACGTTTCATATGTTTTATTAAACTCATTTCTAGTAAATTATGTAATTAAATCAAACATATTGAGATTTTTAAGAACTATTTTGAAAACAGTTTCCGTATATACAATTTATATATGTACATGTATGTATGTATGTACAATATATAATTCAGTCGAAAAAAAAATTTTAAATATTAAAAGTTGTACTGTATTTCCTATGTAAATTGTTTTTCAACTGCAAGTTAAATTTCGAAATAAAAAATAGAAACGAAATATCTATCTACAAGTATATGTACTTGTACATATATAAAAATTACGTGTCTTGTTGTTGTTTGTTTCGTTCGTACTCTTGAACTGCTGAACCGATTTTTGTAAAATTTAGCACACTGTGTTCAGCGTAATCCAACTTAAAAGATATAGCAATTCATAAATTAAAAAATTTCTAAACATAAGCATGTATTCATGATTAAAAAAAAAAAATTTTATTCTCATTTCGAATACCAAATGCCTAGAAAAAAATCAAACCCCAACAATCAATCGAAGCATTGCACAGAATAATGCAAGACTTCAATTGCAGCGATAAACTTTTCGGTTTTGTTGGTTGAAAAAACGTTTGTTCATCAAAAAGATCACCCATTTTGACTGTGAAGTCAATGGCGAAATGGTCCTGTTGCAGCAAAACCAGTCTCCAGTCTAATTAAATAAATCGCTTCAATTCTGGTTGATAGATGATCAATTAAGGAAGATGGACACAATAACCATTGAATACATTTAATTAATGTATATTAATTAATGTATTTTCGCTTGCATATAATTCTCTCTTCCCTTTCATTCAATTCAAGTTTTCAAAAATTTTAATAATTAGAATAAATATTTCTTTTTAACTTATTTAAAATTTCATTTGGGTTTAAATCAGCCTCAGTCACAGCATGGCGTAGTTGAGATGGCCAAGGTGTTATTATTTGGGAGTATACCTATATATATATACTCTATTTTTCCCCTTTAAATCCAAAGTAATAGAATTGTATGCGTTCACCCCTCCAATAAAAATAAAGTTGTCTCGTGTAATAGACAATATATAGCAATTATACCAAACAAATATTTCCTTATTGTTTGAAACACATATTTGGAAGTATGCACATACATATGTACAATATATAGGTTTGTATATATTTCAACCCTGCCCTAACCAGCCAGCGAACGTTTCTAATTGCTGCTGACAAATATACAAAAACTATTCAAAAACTACAATATTTTAATACAAATTTTCGAACAAAAATGTCCAAACCGAACAAAAACACACACACACAAAACAACACATTGTATGTGTGTAAGTGCAGGAAAGCCAGCTACAAATTGAATAATGTTTTCATAGGGCGCAGTTGCTAAAACACCTTTCTGTGTGTCTTCGAATGGGCACTAAAGTGCCTCAAATGCTCGTGTGTTAACTTGTGTATGTATGTATATATGTGTAGGTTTGTGTGTATAAATGTGGGTATGTATAGTTGTGCGTAAGCGTTAAACAAACAAAAACTTTGAATATTGCTCGAAATTCATATGTCCTAGAATTGTTAGAACCAAAAAAGAATTAAATAAGTGAAATAGAATAAAAACAACAACAGCAGGGCTAAATCGAATGAGAAACGACCTAAAATAACAGCGACAATTATGGTCGAAACGCTTGGAAAAATATGGCTTGGCCACGATGAGCGTTAAAGAGAAAAGGAACTAAAGGGAAAAGTAGTAGGAAGCAGCAAGAAAAACGAAGGTGGGTGCGTAAAACTGCGACAACAACAACTGCTATTGGCAATTGTAAGCATAACCATATTTAAAATATAGTTTTGTTTTGTAAAGCCAACAGTTGTTTGATTGGGGGTGTTTTAGCCTGTAGTTAGGCTTCACTTACCCAACTTACAACAACAAAAGCATATGGTGTAAGTTTGTTGAATAATTCTAATGCTAGCTGCCCTTTCTATTGTAACTATTTTGTATTCTAGCAAGGCATATTTATTCTAATTTTGACCCTATTCAAGTTCTTTCATTCTAACCTTAAACGGCTACATGGCTGGCTGTCTGTCATACTACCTGACATGCTTCGCCCACTATATTTTTTCCACAGAATTTTTCGAGTTTTTTCCTTTTTTTTTTTTGCGATTTTCAAGCAGCCATTGTTTACTTGGCGATGTTAAGTAGTAATTTTCTGATAAAAAAATATATTTACATTTATATTGTACATATGTATATGGGCGCCTGTGTTTGTTATAGATTTTGTCATGCAATTGTAATAAGTTCTTGTTTTGTGCTTACTAGATGCTTTTGGTCGATAATGTCGCATGTTAAGTGCGAAGTTATGCTGCTTTTGCTTGGTTATATGGCAATAGGCTCTATCGAAACTGTTTATTTGGCTTGCTTGTGTAAATTTGCTATACTAAATTGTTGTAACTAGCTATTTGAATAAGAAAAAAAAACAATAAAAACGTTAACTTCGGCTGCACGGAAGCTATAATACCCATAACAGGTGCATTCGGCAGTTCGGAAAAATGGGCAGATTTTTTGGGTGAAAGAGATGTGTGCAAAGTTTTATATCGTTATCCCAAAAACTTAGGGATTAATCCGCGTATGGACAAACAGACGGATATGGCTAAGTCGACTCAGACGTTGTCTATTTATATATGTAAATGGTCTAACTTTCATTCATATTTAGCGGATTGCAGCTTTTAAGCTAACTTAGCTTATAAAACAGCTGCTTTTTACACGTATATATGTATATATGTACATGCAATATATTTCTTTATATTATATATTTCTATATATACATATTTTTGAATGTATGTGCAACGATAATGTGTAATTGATACAAAAGTTGTAAGAATGATTTAGCGAAAATTTCCACCGTTGGCTATTCAAAAGAAATTTATTAATTTTTCATATGTACTTGGGTACGTAAATACATAACTACCTACATACTTATAAATATCGACATGTCCATATGTATATATGTGTGTGTGTATCTGTTTTGCTATCATAAATAATAATAATCGCATTCTGTCAATGGATTGTTGGTTTAGCGATCTGCATCTGCTTCCGTACTTTTTCCATATTTTGGATTTCTTTGTTGTTGTTGCTTTGTGCGAGTTTTGAAATGTGAGTTTTTATGATTAATGATGCGCGTTTTTAACATAAATTTTTACTAAACATTAAACGAGTCTACCGGTGTGCCGCTCTAAGCGAGCATCCCAGCATTCAAGCAATTATCTAGAGACCGTATACTCTCGCTGTGCCTGCGCTCAAGGTGTTTTCATACCGCGCATTTCTCAAGCTGCATTCAATGGAAGCGGGGTTTGCTTATTGTGCCTCGCAAACGGTAGTCACTACTGGGCGTTATTTTGGTGCATATTTACTTGGTCAAAATGGCTCCGTAGAAATCTCACGGCAGTCATAATGGCGTATTCCCACAGCGCTGTCCATTATAATAAGTACTTCGTGCTTTAATTTTTCGAAATCTTGCGAAAAGGTATCGGTATGCGCACTCAAAATATTTTGTATAAATATCCGTTATTTGTTTATCAAAATAAACGGTTTTTCTAATCATTTTATACTCACTCATTACCAAAAATTGATCGCTCTCTTGGGCATTAATTTGTTTGTGCTGGCTCTGCGCTCCGAGCACGTAATCATTATGGAATTTAGTCACTGCAGTATCCTTTCTTGTTTATTTTGAATGTGAGGGGCTCTTCAAGAATTTCTTTTCAATGCATTTTTTTCTTACTGTCAATCAAAATATTTACACGCTTGCATTTGCTTTCATTTTGTGTGTATGTATGTGTGTGCTGTTCTTAATTATTTGCTTTGCCGAAATCGATCAATTGGGCAAATGAGGAGTTGAAGTGAATTCTTGGAAGTGTTTCACTTAATTTTTTGAGAAATAAAAAACACGTTTGTGCTGCAAGAAGACCACAATTTTTTAAACAGCCGAACCCAGTTTGTATAATAGCTATATATTATACTTATACTGGTTCGATCTGAACGATAAGTATGCCTTGGACAATAATCTATGTAGAATTTCTTGAAGATATCTTGTCAAATAAAATAGTTTTTTATACAAGAACTCCATTTGGATCGGCCGGTATGTATGACAGCTATATGCTATAGTGTTCCGATATCGGCGATTCAGACAAATGAACCGCTTCATGGAGAGTAAAAGTGCCAGTTTTTTCATATGTGGTTAATATATTTGTTTTTTATTCTTATTTTATGGTTTATCACCCAGATTCACTTAATTTTAGTACTTGATGTTTTCTTTAAATGTCGTTTGAGATACGAATGTGTCGGCGACTTTTGTTTCTCACTGTTTATATTATATTTATAACTTTGTAATTCTTCATACTTGAAATAATAGTAACACTATTCAAATTAATACGCGGCTTACATATATACGGCACGGCATATACTTCCATAAACAGATACTTATTCCAACATATATATATTTTACAAATCTGTACTTTTTTGTTCATTCTAAAATTATATTCTTTGTAATTAAAGGTGAATATATACGTTTGCCACTGGACGAAATTCTTAACGACGTACTACAATTGGCTGAATTCGGTAATATTAATAGCGAGGTAAGTTAAGAAGTAATATAACTGGAATAAGAAACTTACGAAAAAATTGTTTTCGGGGGATTTATGAAAATTTTTACCAGCAGAACTCTTGACATATATGTATATGTCAATTATTTAAATTTCATGACTGTTCTATAATCTGTTTCTTTTTCGATTTTGTAACATGAATTGTATATTAATTACTTTTTAGAAATTTTTCGTTTACGGCCAAGTATAAAATTTTTTCAAAATTGGTTGTTTTTAATGTCAAAATATAATTTGTTTCTAAATTGTTCGTTTCCAACCTCAAAATTAAATTTTTTTTATATCCTCAAAAAATATACATATTTTGAAATCGTTCGTATATAACTTCAAAATTGCTTGTTTATAACCTCAAAATATAATTTTACCGAAACGATTCGTTTTTAACCTCAAACTATAATTATTTTTTAGGACATTGATGCTCATTAATGTTTTAAAAACAATTTTAAAATAAGTTTAAATTCGACTCATTAGCATTTATCTGGACATTTTTATGAACTTTTGTGTTAAATTTTCTACATACAAGAATTGTACAAGCTTTAACCTTACCTCATTCCACTCACGCAGTGCTCAAACGATTCTGTCGCATCAACATCGAAAGCTGCGGCTGCCAAAACTAACAACAATAACAATAACAACGACAAAACAAAATCGGAAACCGAGGAAGACGAGATAAACGATAATAGCAGCAACAACAACAACAACGCCAGTGCTATCATATCTAACGGCAAAGACGAAGATTTAACTAAGAAAACACTCGGCACAACCACTGACGTCACTACCAAACACAAAGAGGACAACACTGAGGAAGATTATATTGACGATTTCGATCTATCGTTATCGGAGATCGAAGTCAATTCATTGCCATCGCCACTTTTCGATTTAGATGACGAAGCACGCGAGGAACTAGCCGACTTCGATATAATGTTACAATCAGCCGGAGCACCACCATCGCCATTCCACCACCATCATCCGCATCAACGCGGTGCCGGCATGCAGGGTTATGTTGGCGGCGGCGCGAACAGTGCTTTCCACCGTCAAGCGACCGGATTCCATCATGGTCACCATCAGGTAAGTGCAAAGAATACAGACTCAAGATGGTTGTGCGATTGGTGTTGAGCAAGCGGGAGGGTGCAAAGGTGCATTGCAGACACAATTCACTGTTCGTGTGTATATGTGGGTGTGCACCACTTTTGATGCAATCAATATCAGCTAACAAAAAACAACAAAAGGTTTAAATGCAATGAAACAATTAAAAGGTCAGAAAGTGGTTACAAAGAAAGAAAAGAAAAAAGTGAAACGAAAACAAAATGAAACACAGAACACTCAGGTGCAATTTAAATTGGTGCCTGTTTATTTTTTATTATATTATTTTTTTTTTACTTAAGAACCGTAGCGGTGTTTTTTAGAAGAATATTAAGTGAAGCATAAGCAGTTCTTTGAAACCTTTAGAAATATTTTGTTGGAACTTTAATGGGTTAGGCTAGAGCCCTTTCGCTAGACCTAACTTGGATTATCTGTTTTGTGAGTAAGGAAAATTTAATTATTAATTAATATAACGATGTTTTAGTACAAAATTGCGTCTACTCAGCCAATATTCAGAAACTTTCGTAATTTACTAAATATGTATAATCTGAACAGGATATATTAAGTTTTCCGCGAAATTTGTAACACCCAGAGGGAAACGAGGGTGACCCCACTAAGTATATTTATAAATAATCAGCGTGTTGAGCCGATTTAACCAGGTTCGTCTGTCGGACTATATATAGGCGAGCTAATCCCTTAGTTTTCGATATATCGGTCTGAAATTTTAATCGCTTCTTTTTCTCTCATTTGTCGGAACCACTATATCATATAGCTGCCATGCAAATTGACCGATACTAATCAAGTTCTTGTATGGAAAACTTTGTTATTTAACAAGATATCTTCACGAAATTTGGCATGGTTTATTGCCCAAGGCAGCAATACCATCTCTGAAGAGATTGTTTAGATCGGACCGTTATAGCATATAGCTGTCCTACTTACTCGATCAAAATCAAGTTCCTTTTTTATTTGACAATAACTCTTTACGAAATTCGACATAGATTCTTGTCCACGCCAACGCTACAATCAAATCAAATTATTCAAATCGACCATTAAAGCATATAGCTTGTGCTGTGAAGTTAATGTTTTTTCTCATCACAGTTAAAAAAATTCAAGTAAATGCTCTCCGAGTACCATCGTCACTTGATCTGAAAAATGTAGGTTCAGGAAAATCACGTGACTTCACTTCGAAAACACATCGAATTCGACAGGAAACATAATTTATTTTCAATATACTACCAATTAAATAGTTTTATTAAGACACTTAAGTGTACATTAAACCAAAAAATCTATTTGTTTTTAATTCTAAACTGGTTTAACAACTTACAAAAAGAAAAATTTCTTGAACTCCTAACTTTTTATCTATGTTTTTCAAAGCTTCAAAGTGTATATTACCATATAAATACATATTTTTAAGAAGTCCCTACACCGAAAAAAATTGTTCTAGCTTAAAGCCGTTTACTTCCCCGCCTTTTCGCTGTCTCTATCAGCACTTGAAGCTATATGCGCTCATCTATATACACATATATGTACATATGTATGTAGGTGTGTACGTTAATATATTTATGTATGCATGCTCTCCACTCATCCGTCAAGGATCATCATACAAATATACATGTGTCAAGTGTTTTCGTTTTGCTTCAACAGTTCGGCCAAATGAAATCAAATCAAATAAATTAAATTCAAGAAAAAATCAACATGAAGTGTTTATTATTGTTCTTGTTTTGGTTGTTTACATAAAATTTCAGAATAAAATCAGAACGTGAAATGTGTACACTAACCAACAACAACAACCAATATGTAGCCAGACATTTGCTCTCATCAACTCGTTCGTGCACCTTTTGCTTCTCGCCACAAGTTAAGTGCTGCTTCGTATGTTTGTGTTTCGTGCAGCGATTTGACAACTCGTCTTTAACTGCTAGTGTTTGAAGAGTAAAGTTTTTTTCCTGCAGCCAGTCTGTGTAACTCCAGCCAGCATTTTTACTCCCTTTTTATTTGACTTGATTGTCTAGCATTATGTTCAGTGCGCTCAGCCTCAGCCGCTTCCTCTAAGCTTCCAAAGCTTCTCACTCAAGTGTTTTAATAATTTTGTTATATTGTTTTGTTTTTATTTGCTTTGTTATTTTCGACGTTCTTTTATGTATTGAAAATTATAAACGATTGTTATTCGTTGACAGATTGTGTTTTGATGAGTGCTAAAATGCTAACTAAATCAGGTAAATAACTACCAAAACATGTTTTGCGAAATTGCATGATTTTCTCGAGCGTTTAGACCACAAAACACATGTTGGCCACTACTATTTGGATACGGTTTTTGAATTTCGAAAGATTAAGTCCTCGACGATGATTTCAGAAAAATTACTCAGTTCCCTAATTTTTCAGGCAATTATTATCGGTGAAAAACTCTGAAAATGTCGTATTTGAAACTTTTCCCTTATTAACTTTTTTTCTTAGGTTGTCTCTAAATTAAAATTTTCAACCAAAAAAATTGTCTCTTTCAAAGAATTATTGGGAAATCACAGAAACATTCCTTCAAACGGAATTTTCATCTTAGACTACAACAGAATATCACTCAATAACCGCATTTGGGTGCCTGGTCATAGTGAAGTCGCTGGACTCTGCAACGCTGATGAGCTTACTTTTTTTATCCTCTTGCGTTCTAGAACTCCATCTATGTACGAGTATGTATCTCGAGGGAGCTGGTAAAGCGTTGGTTAACAACTGACACGTATACAGCGAGACACTTCTGGCCCAGTATGCAACGTAGGAAGTTCATTGAATTACTTATTCTTAGCAAGGTTCGTATTGCTGAAATTATAGAAGTTCCAACTGGACCTTTCGAATATACGTACATGCGGTGAGACTAAAAATTTTAATAAACTGTCAAGGTTGTATTGTGCTAAAATTAGCCGCATCATCAAATTTGTGACAGACTGAAAGCTCTTCGCGTTTATATGAGCATCTTATGACCCATATGCAGCTCTCACAGTTGATTCTCTTGTGACATTTGTCCCGAGAATGAGTCTACGGGAGCAAAACTAACCTCACTAATGAAACCAAATTCTCGATTTATTTCACAATAAACTTATTTGAAATAAGTTTGGTGTGGGAACTCGCATATTTTAGTTTGTAAATAAAATATTCAATTTGACGTCGGAGAACAATTTCTTCCAAAAATGTTATTGGTTTGAATATTTTGTGTTTGGATATCGGCCACTTTCTCTTTGAGTCGGATTCGATGTATGATATAGTACATTTAGGTTTTGTTCTTCAAATCGATATTTAACCTTTATTTCTCAGAAATTTATTCAACGCATATAAAAGGCCGGTTCGAGTAACTTTTGCTATATTTTCGCCCAAGCTTAAGCTTCTTTTTTATAGTGTTCGGTAAGTGATGGAAACACTCTTTGATCTAAGGTGTGCTTTTGATATGGTTTGAGATGAGTGTGACAGCTCCTAGATAAAAATTGTTTCTATAAATTTTATAGTTAATGGTTCGATGACCATTGATGAAGAATTAAAACTTTTTGTTGGAAAATTTATTTTTATTGTTTTGAGAGTTAAATATCAAATTTTTTCCAATCCCGATGATTTTGAAAGGGTAAATAATTTGATCTAATGGCGATGGAAAAGCACTATAACTACAATTAAAAAAATATATGATAGGTAAAGATATAGTACGAAAACTAACAGTAATATTCAAACTTATAGAATGGCTCCGATAATCTCTGATGTAAAACCGATTCCAAGAAACTATGTAGATACTTTTAACTCTTCCCTTTTTTTATTTCTTTTGGTAAATACTGATTCAAGAAATGTTCAGAGATTGCTGGACAACAGATTTAATTAAGTCCCTTACGGCTGTCAACTTTTTGTCACTTGATCTGCCGATAAATATGTACATATGTATATAACTATGCATCAACAGATGAGTTGTAATGATAACCGCTTTGTGGCGCGTAGCCGCATAAATGAGCGCCATTAGGCGAAGCTGTTATGCCGCAAAAGATGTGTATAATGCTTTGTTAAGCATCAATACAGTCGAAGCCAGTTGGAATTATGAAATCCGTCATTTGAAATTGTGTATGTATGTGTTGCTCATGTGTAAGGCTACCGTGTACTTATAGGTAAAGTGTAAATGAAAATAGCGAAAAAGGCAGCTAAGCCTAGCGCGCTAATAGGAAAGAGCCGGTCACCATGCTAAACCGCAACACGAAGAAATGACAAATGTAGTCACGAAGTCAGTAGCAATTACCGTAAAATCCAGCGCTGCTGAATGAGCTGATATGACACACACACACACATGTACGTTGACACCGATGTATGAGGAAAACTGTTGCTGCAACCTGCTGCTACTTTGCCCATGCGGATTAGGACAGTTAAGCCTTTGATGTTTGTGCGCAGGCGCGCACAGCAGGTCGCTTCACTTGTTCTAGGTGCGCATTCACTTGTATAGATATAGTGTTTAGTGGCAGTGGTTTGATGTGTGAGCGATCGGTCATCACACAAGACTAATGACTGTGGTTGGGCGAGCAAAATTTCGGAAAATTCTGCAAATTTGTATTTGTTGCAATTTTACTTTGTTTTGGTTGTGTTTTGCTCTTTTCATGTTTCATTGAATTTTTTGTTTTCACAAAGTACCGTTAGTGCGCTCGTTGCTACTGGCGAAAAATACATATGAGCAGAGTGACTCGACGTTTTTTTTTTTCTCTGCACATGTTTTGCCTATCACATAATGGTGCGAGCGCATAGAAAACCGTGCTTCAAAGGAGGCGCCTCTTTTTATTGCACAGCATGCTGATTTTGCTTTCGCAATTTATATTTTGTTTTTTCTTGTAATTTTTGTTACTTTTGTGCATAAATTGCTTATTAATTATTATCGCTACCGCATTGCTGGCCGCCCATGAGAATGAGCATGCGCAGTTACCAAACCATTAACCAGGCACATTTGCTAAATGACAGAAATACATACATGTGTAGTAGTTGCA